TACAATTCTTAAAGGACTGGGGAGCTCTGGTGGCCTAGTGGCAAGGAGCTACAACTACAATCCCAGAGGCTCACGGTTCGAATCCACCAGATGCTCTGCCGGGAAAGGAGGGACAATCTCCTCCTGTGCCAGTCAGATCTGATTTGACGGTACACTCACAAAAAAAAAAAAAAAGACTATTAATTTTAGAATTTACTTTAGTAACTACTACTTTGATAGGTTTTTAATGGGTTTGCCACATCTACATTTTACTATTTTTAGAGGGTGAAGCCAGGATGCTCCTTGGAGTCAAGGATAGTGAAGCTTCGTCTGACATACTTTGGACATGTTGCAAGGAGGGACCGGTCCTTGGAGAGGGACGTCATACTTGGGAGAGTGGAGGAACAGCGCAGGAGAGGAAGACCCTCAATGAGATGGATCGATTTTGTGATGGGGGTGGTGGGAATAAGTGTGATGGAGATGGTGAGGTTGGCACAGGATAGAACAGGGTTTAAGGCTCTTGTACATAGGGTTGCTATATAATTTAGGGACAGCACATAACAACAGCATTTTACTAGCACTTGTATCAACTCAGTATCTGGAACCGTCAATGTTTTTGAAGGTTAAGATAGCACTTAATGCGGTATCAACTTCCTGAATAAGTGTTGGGTTTTTAACAGAAACTTCTTTTATATGAATATGCAGTTTTATAAAAATAGTTACAGAGCACGAAATATATCCCAGGTAAAGGAACACAGTGAGGAAAACAGATGCTGACCTCCAGGAGCCTAGTGTCAACAGTATAAAGTGTCAAATAATTGAACTTATATGTCATTACAAAGGAATGCAGATGGTTCTACAAGGATACAAAAGCAGTGAGGGAAAGCATACAAGAATGAGGAACTTTAGACAAGGGTACGCAAAAACTTACAAGTAGTTAAAATGCAACTAACCATACCATAGTAACAATTTATTTCTTAGTATCTTCTAAATGTCCCTTTTGTTGAAGCAAAATGTTTTCACTAGACAAATACAAAACCACCCTAAAGATCCTGCAGTAATACAGCAACAGAGAAAAGGAACCACCTCTAAAATACAAAAAAAAAAATATTCCCCAAATTTACATGTAAATTAAGCATTATTATAATTCTATTTGATGAGCTCCTGTCATAAGTAAACAGAAATCCAGGAGAAAAAAAAGCTTAAAAATAAACCTAACCTCCCCAAACTAGGAAACCGTATATAGAGCTCATCTCTAACACAGAACATGAGTGAAAATCGGCTTGATAGCAACTGGCTTGCTAGGTTTTAATTTGGAGAAGTAGAACTTTTAAAATAAGGAATAGAAACTGAGATACAAGAAAAGCAGATCAACAAATTTAAGTGAGCAAGAACAAAAGCATTCCATTGCAACTGTTGACAAGATTGTTACATGATAAATTTTGACAGAAGAAAAAAATCATAAAAATGTTCAGTTTTTCATGACAAAAACGGAAGTATTCAAAAACAAAAGAAATAACTACTTGTCTCACTGTCATGAAGCCGATTCTGAGTCACAGGACTCCTCCAATCAGGTTTGCAAGACTGTAAACTTGGGAAGATGACTTTTCTCCCCAGAAAGGTGAATGGATTTAAACTGCTGATCTTTTGGTCAGCAGTTCAACATGTCAGGCACGAAGTGAGCAGAGTTCCTTTAGAATAGTTAAGAAATTGCTAACAAACCAAACTCACTGCCACTGATTTTGACTCAACGCAGACAGAGTAGCACAGGTGAGCTCTAACACCCCACTTTTGGTCAAGAAGCCACTGGCTTCGAAGAATAACAATAGTCTCATCTCAATCTTTAATCCAATACAACACTTTACAACTTTTATTCTTCCACCTCTCATTTCTGACTCTCCTCTACCTGTCCACAGAAAACTTCTATCAGGGTCCCCCATTCCAGAGATTTTCATACAGAGTCGTCAGGACTCACCTCAGCAGTACTTTCGGGTATTTGTCTCTGAAGGTTCTGTATTTCCATCATAACTGCCAAAAAGAAAAAGTACTCTGTTAAGTCACTCAACAGTTCTGTCCTAAGCCCCAACAACACAGCAATAAAGCTTAACACAGATACGAGGACAATTATAAGCAGCTATCCAGGTTTATGAGCAGCTTGGGGTGCTGTCACCGAATTCAGGCTGGTTCTAATCCACCAGTAGCCCCTACAGAAAGACGCCAGTCTCCTCCTCCTAAGATTTACAATCTCAGAAATTGGGGAGAGTGGTTACCAATCGGCAATGAATTTGGATCCAGGTTAAGTGTTACCTGGTTAGGCTATCGATTAATTTTCTTAAGTATTTTGAGAAAAATGACCATTCTGAATGAAAAGGGGGCTCAGCTTTATGCACCCTGTCGAGTAAATTTAGGGGACACTGATTACGGAAAATGTTTTCCAATTTGTCTTTAAAATACCTATTCAATGACTCCTCTATTTCATTATTTGTAATCTGTTCATTCTGAGGCTTCTGCTGAAAAAATGATGCCGATCGGCACCCTGATCTATTCCGATCGACGAGGTCCTTTTATAGGAGTGTTTTCAGAAGCTCCCAAATCGTTGAGGGTTCCTTTCTGAGAGCAGCTTCAGCCTATCGCGGTGTGGCTGAGCGTCCAAGGTCACAGAGCCGGCGCCCGTGCTGGCATCTGGATGCCGGGCGCAGCTCTCCGTTTACTCATAGCTTTGTCGCGTGGGAAGCACGCGGAAAAACCCTCGCCCTCACAGGAGACGTGTCGAAGAACCCTTCCTTTCTCGGCTTTAAGTGGCGCCTACGATCAGTGCCACTCGGCAAGAGATGTCAAATTCCAGTTCCAAAGGGGGAAAAAAAGAAAGCGGAGAGAGAAACAAATCCAAGAGCTCTCTCACTCCCGATAGTACCACCGGGGGAAGAGCATGGCGCGTCCACTCCGCCTTTCTCTCTCGCGGCGGGAGCAGAAGCCTCGCCCCCTTTCACTCGCCGCCCCCCCCTTTCCCTAGCCCGCTGCAGGGAGAACTTACTTGGCCATGGCCGCCGGGAGGCCCCTCCACTTCCGGTGCCGCTAAAGCTGCGCCATGCCCAAGTCGGTTAGACAACCGTAGCCTCCAACTGACCTTTCGGACGGCTCTGCGACCCCTTCAATATTCACTGAGTGCCAACCTGGAGGAAACGGCGAATGGGTAGCGTACTAAAATAAACCTAATGGAAGAGACGCCTTTACCTTCTTGCCAGAAACATAAAATGCGAAGGAACCGCGGCGACCGCTTCCCAGACAAAATGGCGCCTAGAATAGGACTTAGCGCAGGCGCCTTGGAAAGACCCTGCCCCGCCCCCGTGCGAGCCCCTGGCCGGTGCTCCGGGTTCTGTTTCCATGGGACACTTCGCCGCCAATCCTCGTGCCGAACTGCTCTTCCTGAGCCCTCAATTGACCAATCAGCGTTAAGTTGAGCATATCCGGAGTCGCCTTTACCAATTATTTCTAAGGACTTGCTTACTCAATACCTTACCATCCAATAGCGGGGGCTTCCAAGACAGCCAATCATAAGTGGAAAATGTCCTACCTGCTGTTTTCCCCACCAATCCGGGAAGTTTCAGAGCTACATCCAATGAGGACGGCAGCTAGCGAGCTCCAATTAGAAGCTGTTCGGCGTCATGAACAGCCAATGGGAGTTCGTGTAGAAGCGAGTCGGGTCTACAGCTTGTTATTTGGTGGATTGTGGCAGTAAATCGGACGAGTGGGGGATCGGGCGCAGGAACTGCCGCCGCGTCCGGGAGTGGTGCTGCCCTGACCGGGACCCACCAGGGTCAGTGGGGCAGAGGACTGGGGAGCTGACAGCACGCACTTCACACGCAGTTGGTAGGTGGGGAGAGGGGGAGCACGGTGTACTGAATGGACGAAGCGGCAGTAGCAGCTGGTGCTGCTGCCCAGGGTCCCGCTGCAGTTAGAAGGTTTGGAGGTGGGGAGGGGGCTGCCAGGCAAGCGGCGCAGCGAGCAGAGTGGAAGCGACCAGATCTAGAGCAGCGGCAGCAACTGCAAGAACTGCCTCTGCAGCCGCCTCCTGGGCCGCCTCCCCGGGAAAATGGCTGTGGGGCTGGCCGCGCCGCTAAGTTTGCTTCCGCGCAATGAGGAGCGGGCTGCTTTGGGGGATCTGGCCACGAACTCCACGGGGTGTCCTCTCCTGTGGAGTCCGTAGCAAGTACCGGAGAGGTTGAAGGCTGGTGCCTCTTTGGGCTGTACAAAAAGTTGAGGCGGGCGCTGGGAGGAGGCGGTGGCTGCCGCTGTGCGGCTCCCCTCCCCTCCCACACCCTGTCCCGGCCACCTCCCCTTCTCCTCTCCGCCCCCTGGGCCCCCTCCTTCTCGCCGATCTCCCCACGCTCCCGGGGCTCTGCGTGAAGGCCGTGGCTGCTGCCCCTTTGGGGTGAAGAAGCGTTGCTTCTTCCTGACATGGTGCAGAGTGAAGACAGGAGAGCAATGGCGCCGTGACACTCTGCTGCCGCCACCGCGGGCCCGGGGCGGGCGGAGGGGGCCGAGCGGCGGAGGCGGGGCGCGGGCCTAAGTCAAGAGTATCGGGGGGAGCCGGGGGACTACTGAGCGGCGGCTCCGAGACCGCCGGTCTGGTGGGCTGGGGTAGCCGGATCGCACCCTGTCCTTTGCCAACGCGACTCTCCTTGGGGCTCCGAGTTGTTGAGCATTCTCGGTCAAAGTGGAGAGCGCGGCGGGGACGCGGTGGGCTCCTGGCGAACTCCCGGGCGGAACGGACTGCCCTTTGGCGCCTTGCGATTCTCGCTGCGCCCCTCTGCCGCTGCGTCCTGGCTGCCCTCCGAGGGGATCTTGTCCCTTAGCTGGTGAGGCTTCTTTCTGCCCCTCCCCGCTAGCGTTTGTTTACTTTCTTTCCCTGGGTCGTTCCTCTCTGTTGGCTGATTCTGTGCCTGTCTTTCCCCTCCCCATGGTTTCAGTGACAGTGGAGATCGCTCGTTGAGCTGGAACCCCACAGATCACCGACTAAAATGAAGGTAGGTAGAATCAGCGCTGATCTGGATCTCAAGATGTCCCTGACCACTGCCTTTCTTGAAGCTTCGTGCCATGGAATGTCATTTTTTCTCTGTCTCTCTCTACTCGAAACTGATCCCTCCACTAAGCAGCACTTAATGAAAATGAGGACATGTTGAATGGGTGGGAAATGTTCAGTGTGTCTAAATGCGGCAAGTCCAGCCCTTCTCTGAAGCAGTTAGCACTTTGCAAAGGCTCCTGCAGCCTTTCGAATTGCCCATTGGGCTAGTATTTTTAAACACTTCCTGTATTGGCAGCAGCCTTCGCAGAAGTAAAGCTTTTGCCCTGCTTTGGGGGATTTTTTTGGAAAATTTTTTTCTTCCCCAGTTACCAGTGCAGATTGCTAAGAAAAAAAGAGAGTATGTGAATTGACTTTGGGATAATGTTTATTTGGGGGAGCAAGTGAAAGTTCGGCTAAAATATTCAAAGTAACTAATAGTAGTTTTAGTCTCATTTTAATAATAAATATTTTTTACTTCTTGGCCAACCTAAATTAATTTTGAAACGTCAGCATATAATGCTTAAGGGGGGAAGTTTCCTAATACTCTGGACTTACTGACTTTGAATGTTTCAGATTGAGTACTTAATTGTGGAAAGTATTCCTCTTCACTTTGTATTTCTTGTAAATCCTCTAACTTTAAAAGGTATCAGACTCCTGTTTCACGTATTTCACATTTTTCCAAAACTTTGGCTTTTTTTTTTTTTAATTACATTTAGTCTTCTTTAATACTAACCTGGGAAAATGTTTATTTTCCCCTTAAAAAGAGATCTTTATTTTTTCAATTAAAAAAAAATCTTTAAGTGTACACTGTTACCTTTGTGATTAAGTTGGTGAATTGAATTTGTGTGAATACATTTAGCTTTAGGAAAAAAATGACACAGTAGGGCAGCAATCATTTTATTACAAAATTAAAATTAATGGTAGAGTAAAATTTCTTCTTTCCGTGTATCATTGTAATTATGACCATTAGAACTCAACTAGTATCATAGATGTGTAGATCATAACAAACTATGGCTGACTCAGAAGAATGGGAATCCCAGAACACTTGATCGTTCTAATGCGAAACCTATACTTGGACGAGGAGGCAGTCGTCAGAACAAGCAAGGGAACACTGCATGGTTCAAAATTGGGAAGGGCGTATGCCAGGGATGCATCCTATCTCCATACCTTTTCAACCTATATGCAGAACAGATTATCTGGGAGGCTGGGCTCTATGAGGAGAAATGTGGGGTCAAGATTGGTGGACGATTTATTAACAATCTGCGTTATGCAGATGACACAACCCTGCTTGCTGAAACTGAGGAGGACCTGAAGCGCCTGCTGCAGAGTGTCAAGGACTGCAGCCTCCAATATGGATTGAGGTTCAATGTCAAGAAGACAAAGATTCTCACCACTGGACCAATTGGCAGCATCAGGATGGATGGTGAAGAGATTGAGATTGTACACAGCTTTAGTTTGCTTGGCTCCACAGTCAACAGTCTTGGCATCAGCAGCCGGGAAATTAAAAGGCGCATTGCCATGGGAAAGTCTACTGTTAGGGACCTCTCCAAAGTGCTGAAGAGCAGTGGTGTCTCTCTGGAGACTAAGGTGCGTCTGATACAGGCCATGGTCTTCGCAATCACCTGTTATGCATCAGAGAGTTGGACAATGATCAAGGAGGATAGAAGGAGAATTGATGCCTTTGAGCTGTGGTGCTGGTAGAAGAGTATTGAGAATACCATGGACTGCTAGGAAAACAAACAGATTTGTCCTGGAAAGGGTTAAACCGGGTGGCTCCTTGGAAGCAAGGATTCTGAGGCTCCGTCTAACATACTTTGGGCATGTTGTGAGGAGAGACGGTCCTTAGAGAGGGACATCATGCTTGGGAGGGTGGAGGGACAGCGCAGGAGAGGAAGGCCCTCTATGAGGTGGACTGATGCATTGACTGGGATAATTGGGATGGGAGTGTCAGAGACAGTGCGATTGGCACAGGACAGAGCAGAGTTTAGGGCTGTTGTACATAGGGTCGCTGAGTCGCAAGCGACTCGACGGCACATAACAACAACAGTACCATAGAATGGTAGGTATATAGGCCTTGAGCTATATAGGTCTTGTCAGTTCATAACTGTGCACTCGTCAGAGGAATTTAAACATAAACCTTTCATATACAGCTTTCAACCAAAGAATTTTCAACCCTCTTTATCAAGAGGATTGTTTCCAGTTCTTAGCTATATAGTTATACTTTATCCAAGAGGTTACCTCTACGTAGCTATGTTCACAAACCTTTAAAATTACATATTATTTTAATAGGAATGTTTCTTATTTAAAGACAGCATTTTGAGGAAGTCATAAATAAATAGCTTTAAATGTTATGAGAAATTTCAAATGTCTTTTTCATTTCTTTCCTAAATTGGAACTATTGAAACATTTTATATCTGGAAAAAGCATTATATTTTCTTAATAATGCTTTGTAATTATAGCTTTAAGTCATTTTATGTTAGATGAAGACATCTATATATAAAAAAACCTGTTAATATAATTTAAGCCATAAGGACATTTTTGTAATTATTGATGATAACAAGGAAATAGTTTTTGCATTTTTATTCTTTTAAATATGGAGCTTCTGCAGAAGACTTGAGGCTGAAGTAGGGAAAAGAGTAGTGAAGTTTAAATTCTCTGATCCTTTCACTAGGCAGCAGATGAGCCTGCCTACCTGACAGTGGGAACTGATGTCAGTGCCAAGTACCGAGGTGCCTTTTGTGAGGCAAAGATTAAGACTGTGAAAAGGCTGGTAAAAGTCAAGGTAAGTTTTTTGTTTGTTTTACTACAGCAGTTTTAACCCTATGCATCTATACATATGAGTGCTGGACAGTGAATAAGAATAGTAGAAGAAAAATTGATGCTTTTGAGTTATGTTGGCAGAGAGTATTGACTATCCCGTGGATGGGTAAGAGAACAGATATGTCTTGGTGAGCGTGGAAGCAAGGGTAGTGTGGGTTCGTCTCACATACTGTGTTTCTAGGAGAGACTATATATGCTTTTAAAGGTGGAGGGATGGTGTGGGAGGGGAAGACCCTCAACCAGGTGAGTTGACACAGTGACTGGCAGCTATGAGCTCAAGTGTGTCAGATTCTGAGGTTGGCATAGGATAGAACAGGAGTCACATCTAATGTTTATAAGGTCGGAGTGAATCATACTTGGCTTGATGGCACTAAATAATAGAGAAGGGGAAACTACAGATCAACCTTTAATTTATTGGATCATCAATATATAAAAGTACTGTTGTGTATGTACTGTCCAATAAAAATGAAGCATATTAAGACTTGAGAAATAGGATTATTTTGAAATAGTTTTACTACAATACCCTGGCACTGTTTCCTAGTATTTGGATCTTCCCTATGTGTGACAGTATAATTACTTAAATTGTAATTTTGCTTGTTCCCCCGCTTTGATAATGTCTAAATAGAGATAATTTGATACTTTCAGTGATATGGAAAAACACTATAGTGGGGATTCTCTTTTCCTGACAATGTCTGGAAAGATTTAAGAACTTTGTTTCTAAGATGCTTTTGTGAGTAGAAAAAAGTTAATACATTATCGTTAAATATATTTGGAAATTAGGGCTTTGATTCGTCTATTGCCAGTAAATTAAAATGGGAACAAACTTGAATGTTTAATATTTGGGGATAGCAGAGTGACACCAGACCTGACAGTTACAATTGAAATCCTAAAGTAGGAGACTTGGAAGAGGTGTATTGAGCCATTTCATGAGACTGTCTCAGGTGATCAGAATATTGCCAAGGCTGTGTAGGGCATACATCCACAATTTTGAGGTTAGTGGGCTACCATTTTTGAGCAGTACATTGTTTTCAGCTGTGCTGGTCAAGAGATCTGGTTGCTGTGCAACATGCTCACTGGCCTTGTTTTCTAAGAAGGGGATTATGTTTCTAGCAAGGCATTTACCTGTAATCTTTCTATTCCACTTACATCCCAGTTCACCCACATCTTAAAAATTTGGGTACATTCCAGTTTTGCTTCATTGGCCATGACTAAATGAGGAAGAACTGGTTCAAATCCTTGCTAGAAATAGAAAGGAAAAAAAAAAAAAAGAGCAGGATTAATGCCCATAGTTTATGTATCAAAAATACAACTGCTGACATTTTGTGTTTCAGTTTGGTAATTTTCCTGTAAAAACTGTGTGTTGAAAATTCTTTGTTGCTTAAATGACAGAAGTATTTGATGCTTACTGTATTTTTTACATTGTAGAGCTGTTTAAAATAAGTCCTTTTTGATACCATGCCCAATAGATTTGATGTGGACTTTCAGATTTTTTTAAACTATAAATATCATAACATTAATAAAATAATATTATCGAGTCATTATTGAGTTACTTGCATTTTTGCAGGTTTTTTTGCTTGATTTCTTATTTGTCTAATATACCTGATGTTTTTCTGCTAAGGAATACTAAGAGGAAATGACTGACTGTCCTGCCTGCCCTCTGTAAAGTAGTACCGGCTCCATACAAGGCATCCAAAATTTGGTGAAGGATGAACTAGAGAAGTGTGATTTGTATAGTAGGTAGATTGACCTAAGATTAGTATGAAATTTCCTTTCGTACTTTTATCCATCTATGAAACCTTTTCTTTCACTGTTACTAGGATGCCGTTTTACATTACTTTTCTTCTGATTTCTTTTTAATCATATAAAGAATTTTTATATCTCTTTTTCACCCTGTCATCTAGACAAGATTTATTTCCTGAGTATTTGGAATTATTTCAAAATTTTAACTCTGTTAGTATTCTCAGGGTTCATTCATGTATTTATGTTAAGTCAATACTGTGATTGTTGGAGAAGGTAGAAAGTCTTAGAACACATACATTTCTTAGATTTTTCATTTTCTCACATAATTAACTGCTCTATTCGGGTTGCATACCTTATATACTTGAGAGGAGTTGCAGAACAAGGAGCTCAGGTGGCATAGAGCATTATGTGCTGTGCTGCTAACTGAAAGGTCAGCAATTCAAATCTACCAGCTGCTTCAAAGGAGGAGGATGGGCAGATTTACAGTCTCAGAGATCGGCGAGTAGGTGGCTGTGAGTCAGAATATGATTTCCAGCAGTGGTCCTAGGAGTAGGAGCCGGAAGGCACTCTGCTGCCAACCAAAACGTGGGTGCTTTTCACTCACTAGCCACGCTGGGGAAGGTTGTGACAGTCAGCTTCCATAAAGACTGAGCACCTTGGAAATGCACTGAAGTCAGTGTGTGTATGTTGCAACTAAATTACATTTTATGATGATTATTCAAGTTTATAAAGGAGCAAGAATTCTGAATTTATTTTCTTTTCCAATAGAATTTGATACTTTATATCTGCTTGGTGGCAATCAGAACCTTTTATGACTTGTTGATAAAGGCATTTTTAAGGTGTTTACGCTACAGATGATAAGTCTTCTGGAGTTTGCATTCATGCAGAAACATTTATTAAGTGCCTGACAGTGTGCACTGATACTTGCTAACTGCTTGAGATTGAGTAATGAAGAACAGTTCCAGAATTCTCACTTACTCCTTCATGTCTTCGAGGTAGAACTAACTCAGAGAAGACCCAAGGCTGTAAATCCAAGCATAGCCTTTGGTTTCGTCGCACAGCTCCCAATGGCCTAGGCCACCAGAGCTGCTTTTAGTAATCTGGGAGCTCAGTTAATGAGAGAAATAGTAAGCATGAATACAAGGTGATATAATAAGAATCATACTGCAGATACCCACAAGGTGCTAAAAAGGCATGCATAGGTAGAACTGTTGTTACCATGTTGCTTTGAAAGTGGCTTATGACTTGTGCAAAATTGTTTTTTCAGGTGCTCCTGAAACAGGATAATACTACCCAGTTGGTGCAAGATGATCAAGTAAAAGGTCCTTTAAGAGTATGTATCTTCTACATATTGAGACAGTAATTTATTGAGTTTATTGCATTTTACATGTATAGATATACTTTGATATTTCAGGAAGATGTTAATAAAAAAATAAAGTACGAATGTAGTGTTTGTATGTTTTTTAATAAGTAATGGCATGGCAATGACTATCTTTAAATTAAAAATATTAAAACATTTATAAAAGAAAAGATAGGTAGTCACTTTCACGTTTTCTTTGAGGGGACTGGCTACTGCACTTGACCTCACAGTGTTGATGTATTGAAGCAATTTTTAACCTTCAAAGTTATATACTAATAATATATTCTGGTCTTACTATATTTCCAGTTTACCAAGTAAACTATGTTCACATCATAATTTGATTTCATAAAATATTATCTACATTATGTTTTCTATGCATTCTGACCTTTAAGAACAAACTGCTCTTTTTAAAAATAATTTTTGTAAAAATAATTTTTTTAAATAAAGGTTTATATGTTATATGGCAAATTGATTTTCCAGTCATTTCGTACAGAGTTTGGTTGGTTTTATTAAAAAAATATTTTAGTGTGCAGCAATGAATGAATTTTTTTTTTTAACTAAAAAAAATGTACTGGGGGTGTAGGGAGGAAAATGTGCAACTATGAATTAATGAAAATCCAAATTTTCTGTAAACTTTCATAAAAGTCACACAAAGGAAAAAAAAATTGTGGTTTGCATGACTCTTCTCTGCCTACATTGTAATAGCACTCTTCGTATTTCCTTCCAGTGAGTCTCATGTTCATTCATCCTTTTAGCCTATTCCTTCCTGCCTTGTGCACTTTCTTTCTGGGCAAAGATTTAGATTTTTCTCAAGAATGAATTAGCTCCCTGATGTTAATGTTCGCCTTATAAGCATGTTTATTGTTTAACTGAAAGTTGTGCTAAAGCTGCAAATTTGTTTATGTAATAAATTTTTGTCATGTCAAAATATCATGTAGATAATAACTCAAATACAAAATCCTGGAAAAGAAGATCACCTGGTTCATCACTTTGTATCCAGGTATATCTATTTAAAAAGGCCCTTAAATACAAAGGCTGAGTCAGTACTTGATATTTCTGTGGAGGAAGATGGCAGCTATTTTTACTACTTTATGGTTTTACAGTTCTTGTATTTTGATAGTTTTCATGAAGGAAATACAATATAGCTAAATCAAATTTAAAAAGTAACATTGAAGGTATTAGGATCTGCCCTAAACTTCTTTCCAAGCCACAGTTTCCCAATGAATAAAATAGGAGTAGTATAGTTACTTACTTAGACTATGGTGTTTGAGGGTTCAAGTCTTATAATAAATAAAGGGGCACTATAAGCAACAAAGGGTTACTCTGGTGGTGCATTCTATAGGAAATTGCACTGCCATCACAAAGACTACACCACTTTGGTGGTTCGAATCCACTAGCAGCTCCATAAGAGAAAGTTCAGCATTCTCTTTTGAAGTGCACAGAATCGGAAACCCAATGGAGGAGGGTCAGCTTCAAGTCTGTTTGGACTCAATAGCAGTGAATTTTTATAAGCAGTAAAATTCTAAATCAATGTGAGGTAAATCACAAACTTTTTAAAAAAAGAAATCCAGAACATGTAGAACTTTGGTGCTTTAGTTGAGATACACTGCTGATGTGTTACATACGACTTGTTTAAACTTGGTAATAAAACTTGGATTTTGTACTTTAGGTTGGAGCTATTGTTGAGACAAGGACAGCTGATGGATCCTTTCAAGAAGCTATTATCAGCAAGTTGACAGATGCTAGCTGGTACACTGTCGGTAAGCAGCTGAGTAATTCAATGTATAGATTTGATTTGGGAGTTGGATATACTTCTGTTTTTAGTTATTCTGAGTCATTGTGTTGGCAGAAAACCATGTATTGTTCTTTCCTGTTGTTACACAGAACATAGCTAGCTCAAATTTAATGATACCCTGCTGGTAATAAATATATCTTACAGTAACTTATAGGCATTTCATCAATGAATGAAAATACTTTTCAGGGAGAGTACCTTGATAATTTTCTTCAAGAAAGTTAATTTGTACTTATTTTCCCCATAAGAGTAGTTTGTCAATAATTAATATTATGGGTAATCAGACTTTTCTATAATTACAACGAAGACGGCATCATTGTAGTCTTTTTTTGTACTTCTTCCTGTTTTATATAGTATTATGTTGAATGTTGATGTTACCACGTAATTGGCAGATTGGGGGGAAAAAATTACCAGAATCGATTGAAACCTAGATGACGGTAGTAGTATTTTGGTTTTTGGGACAGTGAAGGCTCTTTCTGTAGCGTATTTTAAGAAAGGTATATTAACGTTAATATATCTTGTTAATGAGAATACATCCTTGGCCTTCCATGAATAAGCTTTTGCTGACTTGTAAAGCTTTATTGAGTAGCAACTAATATCATAATACATTTGAAATGAAACCTAAAAATAGTACTCAAATTGTTAACTGTTAGGATGATGAGAAAAGCAATGGTTAACTTTCCCAGTTCATGTATCTACTTTCAAACTGTGCAATACTGTGAATAATTTAGTCATTTTTTTCCACTAGATTTACTGCATTGTTTAGGTTCTACATTCATATCCTATTGTAAGTGGTTTAATTGTGATATGTGACTTCCTTGTAGAAGGAAGAAAATGACCTATTAGGATTAGAACCATCAGCAGTACTTGTAATCTTGTATTGTCCTGCAGATGCAGGTTTTTGTGTGTTTGCATTTTAAAGAAGTTGAATTTGGCTTTTAATTTACTACTTTGTATAAATTCCTTGATCTCTAACTGTTTCTTGAAGCTGTGGGGATTCTTATTTTGGTTAAAAGTGTACATCCTCTTTTCCTGTGAGCGGCTTCAGGTAATCTGCCAACATGGTTCGCTACTCGCTTGACCCGGAAACCCCCACAAAATCATGCAAATCAAGAGGCTCAAATCTCCGGGTCCATTTTAAGAACACCCGAGAAACTGCCCAGGCCATCAAGGGTATGCATATCCGGAAAGTCACCGAGTATCTGAAAGATGTCACTTTGCACAAGCAGTGTGTGCCCTTCCGACGATACAACGGTGGAGTTGGTAAATGTGCCCAGGCCAAACAGTGGGGTTGGACACAGGATCGGTGGCCCAAAAAGAGTGCCGAGTTTTTGCTGCATATGCTTAAAAACGCCGAAAGTAATGGGGAACTTAAGGGTTTAGATGTTGATTCTCTGGTCATTGAGCATATCCAGGTGAACAAAGCTCCCAAGATGGGCCGCCACACATACAGAGCTCATGGTCGGATTAAGCCCTACATGAGCTCCCCCTGCCATATTGAGATGATCCTTACTGAAAAGGAACAGATTGTTCCTAAACCAGAAGAGGAGGTTGCCCAGAAGAAACTGAAGAAACAAAAACTTATGGCTCGAGAATAAATAACGTCATCAAATAAAATTAAAACTTTAAAGCTGGGGGGGAAAAGTGTACATCCTGTGTTTTACTTTGTGACTTTTGTTAGGAGAAACAATTAGCTGTGCTCAACTACTATTTTCTAACCTTTTGTATTCTTCTCCTCCTAGAGGTTAGTGTTGGCTTTCCAGTATGTTAGTTACTTGCTATTCTGAAATGCTTCTTGTAAGGAAGCTTACTTTGGCCTTTAAAATTGTTGTTTGTGGATATTACTGTTGTTTTGTACCATTGACTTGTAATCGACCCAAAATTGACCTTCCAGTGGGTTTGTCAATCTTCCCACTGAGCATCTAATGGCTTTGAACCACGTACCTTTGGAATTACAGCACACTTTTTACCACTAGGCCATCCTTTTGAAGTTGTTAGACATTTCATTTCTGAATTTAATATTAATTCTGAGATTAGGTAAATATATTTTTGCTATATTAAACAACCCAAAAATCCAAACCTGTTGATTTCTGGTCGCAGTGACACTCCATCTGGTTTTGAGGCTGTGTCTTTTCAGGAGGAGACTGTCTATCCATTTTCTAAAGAACACCTAGAGAATTTGAATTGCTGACCTTTTGATTTGCATTGTACAGGTAACACCATGCCACCAGAACTCCTTCATATTAAATAATATTAAGTAAAGGACTGGTAAAAATAACAAGATAATAAATACTTTCCTGGGAAGCTATGTAAGCTGTTTAAGAAGCACTGATATCTTATTCTCAGTGGTACCATTCTGCTAGCAAAAGCATTTAAATATTGAAGAATGTGAACTATGAAAGGATGATTAGAATTTGTTGTTAGTGCCATCAGGTCAGAACAGACTCATAGCTGACCCCCCAGCAGAGGCTGTAAATTGCACAGGAGGAGATTTTCCATCTTTTTCCTGTGGAGTGCTTGGTGGATTTGAAACTAGTGCTTTTGGGTTGGCAGCACAACTCCTTATGCACTAGACCATAAGGACTCCCTGCTCCCTGATCAGAGTATTATGAGCTTATCTTTGACTCAGTGAAAAACATGGTTAAAACACGGTATGTGACATGTGACGTCTCACAGGTCAGAAACTTCGTATAATTTTTATTGAGCTCTTATGACTTAATTAGAGTCTCTAGGTGGAGCAAATGATCCATTCAGCTGCGACCTTGGAGGCTCAGGTTCACCCAGGAGATGTCACAGGGGAAAGTTCTGGTGATCTTTTCCTGATAAAGCAGCTGTGGAAAACCAAGAGGAGCACAATTGACTGTGACGCTTGTGGCCATGAGTCAGAATCAGCTCAGGCATCTAGTGATGTGGTACTACCTGTTCCCATGAATTGCTCTTTTCAGAAATGTTTCTTGATAACTCATTCCTAATGAAGTTTGCTATCCATAAAATTAGAAAATGATGCATAGTTTTTGAGACCTTGTTTGCTTTCAAGAGACCCTCGAAACTCTGTCAAATTATTAAAATTGGTAAGAGGATATCTCAAATGCAAATGATGATGGATAGTGATTGAATGTTCTCTAAAGAGATTAACTTTTTATATAATTAAGATATAAATTTATTTTCAGTTAAGTTGAATAAGCAGTTTTGAAAGAGATGAGGTCTTAATATTCTACTTTCATTTACTATTGGACAGTGAAAAGACCTAGCCTTTGTTTTTGACTTCGTGTTTTGTTTTGATTTTTTTACTTTTTATTATTATTCTTTCATATCAGAAAACAGTGCTTTTCAGAATAATGTGTTCATTTGGCAGTTCTTATTGTTGCACTAGGAATCCTAGAACACTTATTTGAACTGGTACGAAACCCAAACCAGAGGCTTTTATGTGAACAGAGCAAGGGAACACAATATGGTTTAAGAAAGATGTGTGCCAGGGTTTCTCATATCTATTCAATCTGTATGCCAAGCAAATTATTTGAGAAGCTGGACTTTGTGAAGAAGAATGTGGCATCAGGATTAAAGGAAGACTCATCAATAACCTGCATTATGCAGATGACATACCTTTCTTGCTGAAAGTGAGGAGGACTTGAAGCACTTGCTGAAGAACATTAACGAATACAGCCTTCAGTATGAATTGCATCTCAGCATCAAGAAAGCAGTTTTCTTACCACTAGACCAGTAGGCAGCAAACATCATGATAGATGGAGAAAAGATTGAAACAGTCACAATTCCACCTTACTGGGATCCACAGTGTTACTTGGTACTATTAGGAAGAGATCAGGAGACATACTGCACTTTCAAAATTATTGAGGAGTAATGATGTCAGTTTGAGAACAACAGTGTGCCTTATTCAGACCATGGTCTTCTCAGTCATTTGCTATGCTGCTGAGAACTGGACGGTACATAAAAGTTGCAGAAGAATTGATACCTTTAAACTGTAGTGTTGGAGAAGATACTGAATATCATCATTGACTGCCATAAGAACAAACAAATATGTCTTAGAGAACGTGCACCCAGAGTGTCTTTGGAGGCAAAGATGTTAAGGCTTCGTCTTCGCCTTACATACTTCGGGCATGTTAGGAGAAACTGATCCTTGGAGAAGGACTTCATGCTTGGAAATGTGGAGGATAGGTAAAGAGAGGAAGACTCTGAACCAGATGGATTGACACAGTGATTGCTGCAGTGGGCTCAAATGTGTCAGAAATTGTGAGAATGGCACAAATACTACGACAAAAAAAAACACAACAGAGTGAAACTTGTGAGAAGCAAGACTTGATTGGGCAGCCATGTTTCTCAAAGGTTTTCCACCTCTGACAATGTGCAGTCTTACTACTATTCTATGGCTTGCTTTAGTGGAAAATACTTGGATTTCCCTTCTCTGACAGGTTTCAAATTTCCACAGGCTCAGGACAGGTAATGGTTTTCACCAAATATAAAACATTTACTTATAAAAGTTCTTTAGAAAGAAAGAAAATCTTTTCCATCATAAGATGGCTTTCAACTGTTAATTCAGATGACTTTCTCTAAGACTTAGTATTCCTATGATATTTTGTTAATGTACTAATACATTGAATAGTAGGTAAGTATGCTTTCTGGAATTTTTTTCTATAGTTGAGGGTTTATATAATTAGCACAGGGCATTGTGTGAGTAAAAGAACTATTAATATTTTTCTTAGGTATATATTTTTTAAAGATTTTCCTCTTATGTGAAATATTCTATGCTTATCTCTTGTACATGCGTCTAACAATAATAATACTTAATTTTCTAAAAATTCTTGACTTCTCTGGTGGTATTCTTTTGTACTTTTTCATACCTACAATTTCATTTTACTTGGATTCACAGTGAACACCTATTATAGCAGCAGTCAAGAAATCAAAAGATGTGCTGTTTAGACATCAGCTATCAAGGACTTCCCTAAAGTCCTAAAGAGCAAGAATGCCTCTTCAAAGACAAAGGTGCACGTGAGCTAAGTCATAGTGTTTTTAGTTGCTTCCTCTGCATCTGAAAGTTGCACAAGGAATGAAAATGACAGAAGAGGAACAGATGCCTTTGTGTTGTAGCATTGACAAAGAGTATTGACTGCAACATGGATGTCAAAAAAACAAAGGAATTGTCCTTGAAGAAATTGCAACCAGAGTGCTCCTTAGAGGCAGAGATGCTGCAACTTTGTCTCACTTGCTTTGTGCATATTTTCAGGAGGAACTAGTCCTTAGAGACCTCCTGTTACGGAAATTGGAGGGTCACTAAAAGAAAGGAAGATCTTTAACAAGACGGACTGACGCAGTGACTAATACAGTGGGCTTGAGCATGGCAGAATCCATGAAAATAGCACAGGTTATAGGGTGAGGTTTAGCTTTGTTCATCGAGGCACTGTAAGTAGTAGTTGCCTTGATGTCACCTAACAACAACAACTTCATACCTTTGGTTATAATGTTGTTAGATCCTCTTAACTGAGTTATAGCTCATTAATTAACGTTCTAATCTTTGATTTCCTAATCTATCAAAGGAAGATGATTCCTACCTTGCAGAGGCTGTTCAAGAGAATCAGTAATGGTCAATTGTGGCACCATGTAAATAGGAAAATTTAATTTACTGTTGTTATCTTACTATCTTCCAGCATTTTGATAAACGCTAAATAGATTTTTTTTTTTTTTTACTTAGTAAGTTAATCAGATTCAAGTCCTGTTATTTTGTCTCTGATTATTTTGTCTTTGATTCTGTCATGTTATGGTTAGGGTTTGTTTTTGTTTTTTTCCATTTGCATTTTACAACATTTTCTCTAATTTGTTTAAGGGTTACTATGTATACTTTAGCATTGTTATTTTCCTCAAATTAGATTGTATCATTTATATCTCAGTATAACAGAACATTTTAGTCATAGTCTTGTTTTATTTCAAATAACAAAGCTATCCAAATGTAGTTTTTAGCCAATATATTCCATAGGATTACTATATTTTTGTCTTGTTATTTTCTGTTGTCTTGCTGTATAGTAGTATAAATCTTGTACTAAATTTAGGGAAAATAAATTCTTGTTTGTACCATAATCTTTAGAGAAATCACTTTGTTTCTAACATTAGTTCTAGCTGTTTAAGTAAAGTTAATACTCTTAATTGTCTTTATTAAATGCTAAGTTACTTTATTTTGAATTTTTTAAAAGAATACTAAAGGGAGTAAAATTATTGAAATTCCTTATGACCGCTCTTTTATGTAGGAGCATGATTGATAGATAAAGTACCATGGAAAAGATTTGCTTTCTGAATGTGATTGTCTTTATTAGTCTTATCCTCCCATTTTCCTTCCTTACATTACCATTTAAATGTGCATGCTTGTGCCCATTGTTGTCATGTTTGGGTTGTAGGCATTAAGGAGCATTTTAAAGTTTTATTGTCAGTACTTCTAAAAGTATAATTCCAATTACTCATTGGACTAATAATAACATTGATAAATCATGAGACTAATAATTTAGGAATTCTAATTTTGATACAGCTATTTAACAATTATGAATTGGTCATAAATCATTGATGTGATTATTGGAGGTGGTAGTATTTTCTCCTCTCATTGTATCTGTTAAGTAATCGTTAATGTCTGTATTATTAACAATATATAACTGAACTGCATTATGCAGATGACACAGACCTCCACTGATAGCAAAGAGTGTGTACTGGCGATCAAAATTACAGACTTCAGTATGGTTTACACTTCAACATAAGGACAACAAAACTCTTCAGAGCTGGACCAAAAAACCCAATATCCCGATAAACAAGAATGATGAAAGTCGTAAGGGATTTGATTTTACTTGAATTTATAATCAACACCTGTGGAAGAAGTAGTGAAGGAATCAAATGATGTATTGCATTAATTACATTTGCAGCAAAAGAACTTCCTTAGAATGTTCAAAGAAAAATGTCACTTCAAGGATGGAGCTGGGACTAACCCAAGCTAGAGTATCTTCAGTAGACGTGTTGAATGGTGAAAGCTGCACAGTAAAAAGCACGACCAAAGAAGAATTGATTCACTTGTATTATGTTGTTTGTGAAGACAACTGAAGGAACCACAGACTGGCAGAAGAACAAATTTTCTTGGAAGACGTGTAGCCAAGATGCTTGTTGGAAACTAGGATAGCCAGACTTTGTGTTACATACTTGGAATGTGTTATTAGAGGGGACCAGTCCTCTAAAAAAGGACATCATACTCAGTAAAATAGAGGGTCAGTGAAATGAGTTGTCACAATGACTGTGACAATGAGCTCAGACATGGTACTGACTGTAAAGATGGTGCAGGACCAGGTAGTATTTTCTCTTATATACAGGATTTCTTTTTAACAAACGTGTTCAGTGTTAGATGATGAGATGGGCAGCTCTGGTGGTCTAGCCTGCAGGGAGTTGTGCTGCTGACCGAAAGGTTGCACCTGTGGTGATTCAGATCCGCCCACTGCAGGGTCAGCTTAGGAGTTGATTTCAACTTGACAGCAATGAGTTTAAGGCTTTGGGGTTTTATTGATTGTGATTTATTGTGAATGATATTCATTCATTCATTGTTGCACATTTTCCTCCCTCTCCCCTCCAGTTCACTTAAAAAAAAAAATTAATTCATTGTTGTGAGTTTGAGATTGAGATAAAGAAATTAGAATAAATTCTAAAAAATTAATTTAGAAGTATTTTAAAAATAATCAGTGAGTAATCTGGAGAATACTAGTGATCACTTGTCACATTCCTTTATCTTCCTTTCCTGAAAATTCCAAGCATAACTTTAAGAAGGAGGATTTAGGTTCGAATCCACCAGATGCTCTGCTGGAGAAGGAGGAACAATCTCCTGTACCAGTCAGATCTGATTTGATGGTATACACAAAAACTAATGAAATAAAATAAAATTTTTAAAAAAAGGAGGATTTATTTTTTAAAAAACGGTAATGATATGTGCCATTGAGTCAGAAGTGATTTATAGCTGACCCTCCAGGAGGTGTTAGAGTCAGAATATTGCATTAGAGGAGACTGTCCAGCTTTCTTCCTCAGAGCTGCTGGTGGATCCAAATATCCTCCAGTGTGATTTACTGCTTCTGAAAACATGCTGGTAGACCTGCTTTGAGTTAGTTCCAGCTTGATGGTACATACAACAGCAGCAACAAATTCCACAGGAGGAGAGTGCCCATCTCTTTTCCATGGGGCAGGTGAACCACCTGCCCTTGGTGCCAGAGCAGCTCTTTACCTTAAGAGTGAAATAGTTTTTAGGAACATCTTCCATCAAATTATTATTTCTCTTTTCAGTAAATTGTTTGGTTTTTCTATCTTATCTTTCTGGTGTTCCCTTGTTTAATGAATTATTATTATTATTATTATTTTTCCAAAGAAAAGAGTTGAATATTGTCACTTTGGGTTTTGGTGTCTAGGACTTCTGTTTGTTTGAGTTGTAATGCCAATATGTAGAAGAAATAAAATAACCTAACAGCATTAAAGAATTAAAGTTAAACCTAATCTCTTGATAGCTATTGACAAAATAATTAATTTTTTTAACCCAACTTTTTGCTCATTTTTGTAAGATTTAAGATAATTTCATATTTGTACTTTCAGTAAGTTCTTAATATGTTAAGAAGATGCTCCTTCTGTTGAGATAAAAATTGCTTCTGAGAAGGGAGACACATTGGACTCTAGCTCTTTAACTTGTGTTTGATTAGTGTCTGCTGAACAAAATGCGATTTCAACAGTCTTAAAAATACTGAGCCCTAAATAAGTAGCAGTAATAATAATTTTTAAAATTACATTTTTATTAATATGATTTTATTTTATTATTTTAATGAAAATTTAGAGAAGTTAGATTTTCACTCATTCGTTGTATATTTTACCCCCTCTCACTCCCTTCCCCCCCACCAGTTTTTAAAAAACATTCATTCATTGTTGCATAATAACCCACCTCTCCCCTCCCCCCAGTCCTCTTTGCAAATGAATTGGTTTAATGTGCATAAATTCTGTGATATCTTATGCTTATTGTAGTGTTCGATGATGGTGATGAGAGAACACTGAGACGAACTTCACTTTGCCTGAAAGGGGAGAGACATTTTGCAGAAAGTGAGGTACATGGACATGAATGGATTTTTGTTTTGGGTTTTTGTGTTTTTTTAATGAATGGATTATTTTTGATTGAATAATAGGTATTGGCCTACAAGTACAATATCAGAATTAATTGGTTGCCTTTTTTTACCCAGACACTTGACCAGCTTCCTTTAACAAATCCTGAACATTTTGGAACTCCAGTAATTGCAAAGAAGACAAACAGAGGAAGAAGATCTTCTCTTCCTGTGTGAGTTTTTCCCCCATATACTAGTAACATTAAATGAGAACTATTTCTAGGGCCCTCTGGTGGCCTAAGTGGTAAGAAGCTACTCTGCAATCCTAACGGCACTTGGTTCAAATCCACAAGCTGCTCTGTGGGAGATGAGCAATCTCTTCCCATTTGATAATACTGCCTCTGAAAACTCATTGGAAGACCAGCTATGGAAGAGTTCCAACTCAGCCGGCCCACAACAGCATTACTAGGTTAAACCCATGACTTTCTTAGGATGACTTAATGAGTTTGCTTAAACTTTCCATGGCTCCTGTGTCCTCATGTTAGATACTATAATTGAGGAGACCTTAGTTTAAATATTCTCTTCACTTTTCTCCAAGAATTATCACAGCTCTTTTTTTTTTAAATGATTACTTCTACTTTAATTCCTGTTTCCTATTTTAAGCTGCCTTGCCACATTTTAGAATTAATGTGATAGTTTGTTTTTAAATAGTGTATTTTTAAACTTAACTTGTTTTAAAAACATTTCTACTTAAAAAGTATAAAAATAGTATAATGAACTTTTATTTTCTCCTTACCTATTAATATTTTTGTCACATTTGCTTTATCATCCCTGTTCTCATATTTTTTATATATAATATGTATGTATGTATGTATATGTATTATAAGTATGTGTGTGTGTGTGTGCATACACACATACATACATGTTTTATAATTCTTTTTAATTTACAGTGATTATTTTTATTTTGCTGGGCCAGTTTAGAGGAAATAATAAGCACAGTGACCTACACTTAAGTAGCTAAGAATAAGACTATTTTTCTATATAACCACAGAAGTATCCAATTCCGAAATTTAACTTTGAGCTACTGTTACATGTAATAATATTTCAGATTTTTCCAAATGTTTTAATAATATCCTTTATAATATTCTCTATCTCAAGGTGATTCTGTTTTAATGTATGTTGTTTTTATTGCCTGTGAGTTGGAATCAACTCATAGCTGACTCTCCATTGGGTTTCTGAGTCTTAAGTCATGCATGAGCAGAGTGCCCATCCTTCTCCCTCAGAGCTGATAGATTCAAATTACCTTTGGGTTAGTGGTGTAACTCCCTGTGGATCAGGCCACCAGAGCTCCCTGTGTAGTTATTAAGACTCTTGTAAACAGAAACACTTACTAGATTTTCTTACCTTTCCTGAAGTTACATTTTTGTTGTTGATCACATACCTTTGCGTTATAACTGACTCATTAGCTGACCTTCCCTTGGATTTTCAGGGGCTGTAAATTGCACATGAGATTGTTCATCTTTCTCCTTCAGAACAGTTACTGGATTTGAACCACAGTTCCTTTATATTGAACTCTGGTGGCTTAGTGATAAGGAGTTGTGCTGTCAATACAGAGATACATGGATTGATCCACCAGCTATTCCACAGCAGAAAGATGGACCATCTTCTCCCAAGCATTTATTGCACTTAAAAACCTGTTGGATGGTCATCTGCAAATTGGTTCCAGTTCAGGGTATACAAAAACAATGTGGATAGGAACCCTGGTAGTGCAGAGGTTAAGTGCTTGGCTGCCAACTGAAACAGTCACTGGTTTGGCCAGCCACTCTGTAGAGTAACGTGGCAGGCTGGTCCTGTGAAGATTACAGCCTTAGAAATGCTGTGTGGCATCTGTGCTCTTTCTTTTAGGTATTCATATTAGTCAGAACAACAACTTTGAAACTTTGAATAGTTTTAGCAACCACTGATAATCCATTATTGTAATGGTAGAATATGGTGCTTTTCCTAACTTTTCACCATGTGTATCTTAAGTGTCTTTTAGCCGGTAGAAAATCTTTTCCTCCTTAGTATGAAGTCATACTTTTTCTTTAAAAAGAAAAATGATACTTTTATTGTGTTTTAGATCAAAGTTTATATAATAAAGTTCCCCTTTAATACTTTTAATGGAGAGTATACTGTTCTATTGGTGACAGTACTTAGTGTGTGTCACCATTGTCATTCTTTGCATTCTTGTTCTATTTCCATTGGTCTTTGACTTTAGATAAATGTTGACTGGTCTCAAGTAGTTAATCGCTTAAGAAAGCATGTTGTTGTTGGGTGTCCTTGAGTCCACTATGATTCAGGTGCCCCTGTGATCATTTGGGCTGAACCTTGCCTTATCTTGTATCATAGTAGTGATTTCTGTAATGCTCACACCTTTTGTTGGAGTCACTGTGTCTGTCCACTTCCAAAAGGGTCTTCCTTTTTAGCAGACTCTCTACTCTCCTCTGCGTAATATCTTTTTCCAAGGACTGGACCCTTGACAACATGATCAAAATATGTGAGATGATGTTTCACCTTACTTGCCTTTAAGCATTCTGGTTGCATTTCTTCCAAGGCAGATTTGTTTGTTCATTTATTTGTAAGTCCATCAGATACTTAGTACTCTTTTCCAATACCTCATTTCAAAAACATTGCTTCTTTTTCAGTCTTCCTTATTCATTGTTTAGTTGTCATATACATAGGAAGTGATTGAAAATGCTTCTGCAGTAAGTCCTTCAACTCTTCTTCACTTTCTGCAAGCATGGACAATATTGTTTCTTTTATAAGTCACTCTGTTCTTTGGGAGCCCTGGTGGCTTAATAATTAGGAACTGTTAACCCTAAGGCGGGTGGTTCAAAACCACCAGCCACTCCATGAGAAAAAGGTGGTCAGTCTCCTTTCATGCAGTTTACAATTGCTGAAAGAAAACCCACTGGAAGGTCAGCTATGAGTCAGTTGCATCTCCACAGCATGTAATAATAGCAACATTATTTATCTGAAAGATAACCTATTGAAATAGCCTTAAATCCAGTTTATAGGTATTGTCTTAGAGTGATAATGTCAGTGGTTCCGCAGGTCTCTATAAGCTGAGCAAATGTGACTTTTTCTAAGGAATTTGAGTTTGTTCCTCATTTTTCTCCTTTTCTTTTGAGAGTCTTCTGGTCAGAATGATAGGAGTAGTTGTAGCCATGAGTCTACCAGTTCTTCTGTTCTCAGGTTAGAGAGGGCCATGGATTATGGGGACTTTTTCTCCCAGGGACTAGTTGTTAGAAGGCTCTGTAACTGTCCTCTGTGGTTTGTGATAGGTGTGTTTTCAAAGATACTAAAGAAAGGTGTATAGATGAAGCTCATAAAAACATATATACATATAACTATAGAAAAATCTGTTGATACATGTGTATTATTGTATGCTTTTTTATACACACATACACTTGAATATGTGGCAGCATAAACACTGTAAACACTTATATTTTCTGGTTGTTTTTTTATCACTCTTGCAAAATTGTATATGATATACCATTTAGTGAAAAGTGTCACTTCTTCCGTACTTCTTAGTATCTTTATTTGGTCACAGTGTGCCCACTTCACCTGTGTTTAATCTTCTTGTTCTCATCTTGAGAAGTAACAAATATCTATTGTACAGAAAGTGATTCCCCTTCCTTCTTCCACCAGTGCCTGCTAACCCTCAAAGAACTTTGCTTTTCATGTGTAAATCTAGATTTTTTAATATTCCTGAGACGAGTTTATCTGTTTATAGTATCTGTTTATCTCTTTATATGTTGTTTCCATCTTTTTTTTAACCTTTTTTTTGCTATCGTGGGTAATGTAGTGGTGTAGTGGTGTGCTGCAGCTATCTATTTCTGTCATTGCTCTTATTTCTAGGATATATACTTAAGAATGGAATTGCTGAATCATGTTAATTCTAGTTCTACAATTGTCAGAAGCACCATACTCTTTTCCATAGTGTATCCTTCCACAATCCCACCAGCTGTATATAATAGTCCCTGGCACAACTTTTTCAGCCTTTGTGGGTTTTGGGGTTTTTAAATAATTGCCATTTTTACAGGAGTGTGATGGTATCTCATTGAAGTTTTGAATTGAATCTGTCTATTAGCTAATGATCTTGTGATTTAATTTTGACTTCCTGTATGTCTTCATTGGTGAAGTCACTGTAAATGTCCTTTGCCTGCCTTTTGATTGGATTGTTTATCTTTTTGTTGTTGAGTTGTTAGTGATTTCTGTATATTTTACACTATGTATTATCAGATATGCTATTGTCTAGCATTGTTTGGCAGACTTCAGGTTCTTGTTTTCTATTTTGGTAAGAGATAGTCTTTTAATTAGCTTAAGTATTGCATTTTGAGGAGATCCTATTTGTCTAGTTGGTTTTTCTGGTATTTGTGCATTTTTAGTTTTGTTTCATAGGCTGTTTGTGTTGACGATTCTGTTTCTTCATTTTGAACCTATGCTGTCTTCCAGCATCTTCAGAGTTTTAGCTTTCGCAAAATGGTCTTTGATCCATTTTGAGTTACTTTTTGTGTTTAAGGTGAGATATGAATATTTCATTTATCTGCATATGAATATCCAGTTTTGTCAGTAGTAGTTGTTGAAGAGATTGTTCACTGAATGGACATTAGCCCCTTGTCACAGATCAGCTGCCTTTAGATAGATTTATGTCCGAGTTCTCAGTTCTGTGCCATTGGTCTGTGTCTGTCATGGTACCAGTATAAGGCTGTTGTAATAGTTAAATAGGCTTTATAGGAAGTAATAAGATTAAGATATCTGAGGGCTTCTACTTTGTTATTGTTCTTCAATATTCCTTTTAACTTTCCCCCCCTTTTTTTGTGTACCATCAATCAGGTCTGACTGCCACAAGAGGAGATTGCCCCCCCCCTTCTCCAGCAGAGCATGTGGTGGATACGAACTGCATGCCTTCAGACCTTTTAATTTTTTAAGGCTTTTTTCATATAAAGTTAGAGATTATTTTTTCCATTTCATTAAAAAAATGCTGCTGGAATTTGGACCAAGCAAAAGATTTTTTTTTTGGTAGTATTAACATTTTCATTATGTTCAGTGTTCCAGTCCATGAGCATGGAATATTTTTCCATTTATGTAGCTCTCTTTAGTTTCTTGCAGTAGTATTTTATAGTTTTCCTTACATAAGTCTTTGTATGTCATTGTTTAGGTTTATTTCTAGATATTTTCTCCTCCTGGGAATTATTTAGGGAATTTCAGTGGTGTAGTCTACAGCGAGTTGGTGCTAACTTACAAGCTACACACCTCCAGCAGTGTTTCCATGGGAGAAAGACTGACAGTCTCCTCTGGTTACAACTGACAGTCTCAGAAACCCAATGGAAGGTTGCCATGAATTGGAAACAGCTTAGTGGCAGTTTTTGTCAGAGGGCTGTTATTCAGAGGCGAGGATAGTGAAGAAATTCTGTCTCCTATACTTTGGTCATGTTGTCAGGAGCCAGTCTGCAGAAAATACAAATCTTGCTGTAAAAGGTGGTCAGAGAAAGAGAGGAAGACTCTTGACAAGATGGATTGACACAGTGACTGTAGCAGCGGACTCGAGCATGCCAGAGATCTGAGGATGGCGTAGAGCGAGGTTCCCACCTTTTCATAGGGTCCCTATGAGTCGTTATCACATAAAACAACAGTTCTGCTATAACGTGTTTCTTGTTTCCTTTTCAGAATCCTTGTTAGTGTAGAGGATCCTAACTTTTTTTTCCCCCCTTGGGTGAAAGTTTACAAGACAGATTGTTTCCGTCCAACATTTTATACACGTTTTGTTCTGTGACCTTTTCCTCCGTATGATGGTGGTCTTCTCACTCTCTGGATTTCTTCCTTCCATTTGTCTTTCCTTCGTACTCCTTCCTGCCTCCTGCACTTTCGTTCAGACCAGAGAAATGATGCTTCCTTTGGTCTGAGATAGTCAGTGGTTCTACTGTCTTCTTCTTGAGCCTAACTGTGTACTTTGTTGTTGCTGATTGCTGTCTAGTCAAGCATGACTCATAGCAATCCTATGAAAAAAAGATCTGAAGCTTTTCAATAACTATCGTTTCTCAAAGTTCATAGAGTTTCCAGAGACATGTGGCTTAGGAAGTGGATGCCCCTCCTACTATTTGGCTGAAAGGTGATCCCAGATGGTGGGTTTTGTTCTAGGTTTGGAAGGTATCTGAGGACCATAACAATGGTGCTTCTGCCAATCTCTGTCAGACACATTAATTGGCTTTTTTTATTTTACGTTGTGTTCTGTATTTTTCTCCCACTGCCCATGACCTCCTATTGTGTTCTTGACCAGAGGGAGCAGTATTGCTGTCCAGGCACCATCTAGCTTTCCTGGTCTCATTCTCATGGAAGCTGTGGTATATGTGGTATATTTCCATTGGTCTGTAGAACTGGTTCTTTGAGTCTTTGATTTTCTTTACTCTTCTTTTTTCTTTGAATGGAGAAAAAGCATTAGTTACATCTTAGACAGCTGCTCATGAACTGAATTATTACTTGTAAAAATAGGATATAAAGCATTATCTTTATGGACTGTTTTATGCCAGTAACAGATCCACTGGGACTGTGGTCCTAAGCCTCTAAGCCCATCCAGGCTGTTCCTCAAGGTGTTTGAAAGTTTTCTTCTTACTGACCTTTATGCATAGATATATTTGCACCATTTGGAGATAGATATATTGCAATATACTCTTCCAGACCTATATAGGTAAGTGGGTATACTGCCATACCTCTTCAATTTGCTTATATCTCTGTGTATCCACTCTTACTGTTTACTGCTATTGTTAATGCAGGACTGTGCGTGTGATAGTATTTACCATCATTGCCCTTTACTCTTGTGTGATTCCCATTGTCTTCTTTTTCTTCTATCATGTGCTGATCTCCCTCCAGATCCCATTCTATATTGCCTTTCCTTTCACTCAAAATAATGTTTATTTTCTTATTGTTGTATACTGTCAAGTCCTAACTTACCCACAGCTGACACTTCAGTAGGTTTTTAGAGGCAGTTATTTGAACAAGAGCAGAAGCTCATCTTTCTCTTGTGAAGCAGCTGGTGCATTCTAACAGCATACCCTTGCATTGGCAGTGTATTTCTTTACCACTAAACCACCAGAGCTCCCTCCTTCTATACATTTTGCAGCCTATGAAAACTCATTTCAGCTCTGAGTTGGTTCTAACTCGACAAAAATTAGTTTCAAAGAACTACCTTCTAGTCTTAACTGATTTTTTCTCAATTCTATTTTCTTATTCATTTCAGCTCCAATGTTTATTATTTTCTTCCTTCTGTTTCTGATGGCTTGTTTTGTTGGTTTTTTTCTGTCTGTCCAAATTGTCAAGTTAGCAGTTCATTTTGCTTCTCTGTGTGTGTGTGTGTGTGTGTGTTTATTGCTGTAAATTATCCTCAGAGCTCGGCTTTTGGTGTATCCCAAAGGTTTTACTGTATTTTATTTTCATTCTCATTTAATTCTAGGAATTTTTTATTTACAATTTATTACCCTGGAGATTAGAAAATGTTAGTCTGTTTCCATGTTTCTTTTCTCCTTGTTTTTCAGTGATTTAGTTTCACTGTGCTATGATTAGAAATGGATTAAAAATTATAATGTTACTCAGTTGGTTTTAAATGCAGTGTGCTTTTATTCATTTTGGTGCTCAAATCTACCAACTACAACATGGGAGAAGCTCACATGGGGCTATCTATCTATCTCGTATGCAATTTACTGCCTAAAACCTGTTGTTGATATGAACCATTGAGTCTGAACTGACCCATAGCTGACCCTTAAGCAGGTTTTCAGAGGCATTTAATCACATAGGAGGAGATTGCCCATCCTTCTCCTGCAGAGCAGCTGGTGGATTTGAATTGCATGGATTTGAGATCACCACTAGGTAATCCCATGCTCATTTTCTTACCACTAGGCCACCAGATCTCCCTACCTAAACCTACTAGAGGATTGTTTATAAGTTATTACCTACTTTATAGCAATGAGAGATGAGAAAGGCAAATTTAGACTATCTTAACTGTATCAATAATGGTTTGCATTAGAATAATCTTGATAAAATTATTTTCATTTTTAGTACAGAAGATGAAAAGGAAGAAGAAAGTAGTGAAGAGGAAGATGAAGATAAACGACGTCTCAATGATGAATTGTTAGGAAAAGTTGTAAATGTAATGTCCACACCTGAAAAGACAGAATGCTATCCTGCTTTGGTAAGTAAGGTAGGGGTGTGTATGTGCAGAAAATCAGCTTTATAAACTATTTGACATGAATTTTTGTAGGCTGAAAGTAGTATACAAATTTAACTTAAATTTAATTGTAGATCTGAAAATTGAACGTTCCTATCATGTTTGAGAATATTTCACTGTCTCTTGTTGCTGTCTTTAATTTTCTATAACCAATTCCTTAAAAAAAATGCCCGGTGGTCTTTTTGTCCTCTATTTCAAGTACAACTTTACACTTGATCTATAGGAGTACTTACCAACCTCCTTTAACTTGATTTCTGAATTCTTTCTTTACTGGATTGAAATCCAATTTCTAGAAATAGTGTTTATAGTGAATTATTTTTAAAACATCCCTGTCTCAAAAAACCTTTTGTGACACCCTAATGGCTCAGTTCTGCATTCCTCAGAAGGATATTTGGGACCATCCTTAGTTTGCAGTTTCTTTTTTATTTTCATTATAAATTGCTTTACTTTTCTCAGGTTCTTTGCCACTACTCTAGACTGTTGCATCTGTCTTAAATGAATTGGTCATTATGTACTGAAGATTTAAAGCAACCTTTTTCTAACTTCTTATAGAAAAAGGTGAGACTTGGAATACATTGCACTCAAGCTTAGTATTTACACCCAAGAGATATAAAAGATTATCTCACTCCCTCTTATTCATTACTGTCCAGTTGGAACTCATTCAGAGCTGACCATCCAGTGGGTCTTCAGGGCTGTAAATTGCACGGGAAGAAACTTTTTTCTTCCAAGGAGTCACTGATGGATTCAAACCACCAGAGAAATGTGATGTTTGGCTTAACAGTGCAACTCCCGATGGACTACGCCACCAGATTTAAAAAATTAGATGTTGATTGCCTTCGAGTCAAGCATGACTCACAGCAACCCTTTGAACAAAAGGCCTGAAGCCCCTCTACAACTGTCTACATTATCAACGTTCAAAGGTTTTCTGGAGGCATGTTGCTTAGGAATTGGATGCCACTGAAATTTTTCATTTGCTTGTAGTGCCTCTGCTGCAGTTCTTCAAGTACAGCAGAGTATTAGGGGGAAAAGATTTTAAAATTTAAAATTTGTTTCGATTTTAAAGAAGGCTTTGGAAATGCCAAGTCTTTAGAGAAAGTTGATGTTTGCTTATTTTGGGAAAGAATGAGGAAGACTGGATAAGTTCTAAGTTGTTATTAGGTGCTATCAAGTCAAGTACAACCCCTAGTGACCCTATGAACAGCAGATCTGGACCCTCAAGGGGTGCTATCTTCCCATCAACATCCTTCTCTTACATATTTTCTCTCGTAAAGTTCTGCTCAAGTCCTGCCTGTCCTGCAGGATTTCCCTTACTTAAGCACTTTTAACATAAATAGAACTCCTTTTCTGATTTTAATAAAATTTTTTGTCTCTAAAAATTATTTTAATGCACACATCTCAAAAGTATGTTCAGAACTAGATTATAATCATTTAAAGAGCTGAATCATTGTTTAGGGTTCTTTGTGCACATGGACACATTACTCTATCCCTATATAATGTGTTTTCATTCTGAAAATTTTTTTGAGCCTTTTGACTTATATAGAAAGACAAGTGAATGAATGTGAGTTCTGAAAATTTAAGTTTGCCAAGAAGCTATTTTACATATTCTCTTATTTATTCAACAGATTTATCATTTTCCAGGTAATACAGAAAATAAAAAAGGATTAAGACATGAGTTATATTTGATAGTTTTGTAGTTGAATGCAGAAGATAATTCATGTAACTATAAAATGTCATGTATTCAGTAGTTTTCTTAGACAAAGGTATTATGTTTATTTGAAGCAAATCTAGAAAGTCTCTTGAAGAAGGTATGTTTGAACTGAGTTTTGAAGGATTTAAAGTAGAATTTTACAAGAAGACGTTTTTTGTTTTTTTTTTTTTAAGACTTTCTTAAGGGGAACAAGAAGTAAAACTAGAAGAAGAAGAAGAGCAAGGAGTTAGTTCCAGGAACTGTTTGTTAAAAGAATCTGTACTGACTCAAGTGTTGGATGGAAATAGAGGAGTAACAGGAAATGGGACCCATTGTATTTAGGGCATAAAGAACCTTTACAACTTTATAGAATTTGGATATAATCCTACGAGAATTTTGCAGAAAAGTAGCATTATATTATCTCTGTGTTTATAGGAAAGTTAATGAGGCAGTGCAGTAGTATGCTGGGGATTGTGTTGAGAAGGCTGGAGGTGGCATGGATCACTTTGGAAACTATTAGGACCCTTCATAACCTTGGCCTGTGCCTGATCTTCCTTTTAAGAATGACCTTTCACCCTTGCTGCCACTTTTTTCCTTCCCCACTGTGGGTTAAGTCTTACCGCTAGATTATCCTGTGCCTACAAGTGCGCCTGAACTTATTTCCCATTTTGCTTAGGTATCTTTTTGTATTTGTCTCTTCATTACATTGTTAGCTGTTTGAGGGTAGAGGTAACTGTATTATTATCTAATAATTATCAGCTTCTACCAAGCAAGCAAAAGGACATTCAAATCCATCTGGTGTTAAGACAGCTGACTATCAAGTGGCTATCAAGATTATACAGTTAGCTGTGTGCCGTCTAGTATGCTAACCATGAACCACATATGACTATTTAAATTAAAAATAGGCTATTTAAATTAAATATATAACTTAATTAAAAGGAAGTAGAGTTTTGTTTCTTCCTTGTAGCCACACTTCAAGAGCGTAGCTCTTATGTGACTCATGGCTACCCTGTCAGCAATGCAAATATGAAACATACACATCATTGCATAAAGGTCTGTGGACAGTGATGATCTGTGTTGAAATAATTGTAGAGAGTCTAGCTGTTAAGGGATGATGAGTAGATACATTTCACTGGTTTGTTAGTATGCTAATTTTTTGTTAATAATAAAGTCCGTAAAGACTGTATAGATTCACTTATTGACTGATGCTAACTGTTGAGACATTTCTTTTATTTTCAAAAGTTAAAAAAAACCATTAAAACTCTTTATGCGGATTTTGTCTGATAATTATTTTAGGTTTACATTTGTCTTGATAAGGAAGGAAACTTATACAGATGTTTATTTTAAATAAGCAGCCAAATTTAAAAAAAGATCTGTTATCAAGTATATTTTAAAAATTCTAGCCTGGAAATTGTTATTACAGATTTTAAACGTTAGGACAATAAATGGATTATTATTTGAGTTCGAATGAATTTTAAATTTTTAAAGAGTCACATTATAATTTATACTTCATTAATTATTCATTTTTTACATTAATAACTACAAATAGTCTAGAATGCCAGCATGTTAAACTGAAGATGGAAGTTCTTTTATAAGTAATTCATTAATGATTATGAAAGAATTCTTTATAAAATATAAAACTATTTGGAAAGTGGTTGTTGTGGATTGTCGTCCCATCAAGCACAGCTCAAAACGACTCTGTGAACGAAAGACCTGAATGAAGCCTTTCTATAACTATTGTAGTTTTTCAGAGTTCGTAGCCTTTCCAGAGGCATGTTGTTTAGGAAGTGGATGCCAAAGTTGCTCTTTTCAGAATGAAAATATATACGTAAATTTTTTTTCCTTATTTTTTCCCCCCTAAGCAAAGTAAATGGAAACCAATATATTCATCTCTGTTTCAGGTAATATCTCCCAGCTGTAATGATGACATCACAGTGAAAAAAGACCAGTGTTTAGTTCGGTCATTTACTGATTCCAAATTGTGAGTAACGAATCGCTTGCTAGCTTTATGTGGGATGAGAAATGATGAAATCCCAGTGATAGACCCCAGATACTTTATGCTTAAAAAGTGACCATTTCATGAACTGAGAAAAATTATGTATTTTGGCTCTGTGTGGTATAAATTATATTTTACTCTTAAATTTTACAGAAAAACTGAATATTGTGATTTCTTCTTACAAAAAGCATGGGACTGATTTTCCCTATGGACTGTTTTATTTTGTATATTGTTGTGTACAATCAAGTTAGAACTGATTCATAGCGGACCCTCTAGTGGATTTTCAGAGGCAGTAAATCACACAAGAGGATGTTGACCATATTTCTTTTGTGGAGCAGCTGGTGGATTCGAACAGTGTTTTCGGGTTGGCAGCACCATTTTTTACCACTAAGCCACCTATCTTTGGCCTATCTTTTTATCTTTAGGAAATTATTTTTTATTAGATTTTGTAATACTTATAATTATTTTACCTTTTTGTTATTGAAAGACCAGATTTTTAGAAGCTTTCCGTAACTTCACCTTTGCTTTGTTTTTGAGAGAAATAATATAACGTTAAATACATAAACACAAACAGACCCCGACCCCCAGAGAAAGAGTTGTAATTTTCTGTAAACACAATTAAAGCTAGAAAGTACCAAAATGATAGGCTGTTACTGGGCACTGTTGAGTTTACTTCGACTCTTATGACGGTAGAACTGCTCTGAGGTTTTCTTAACTGAACGTTTACAGAAGCAGATCGCCAACCCTTTCTCTGTTAGAGCCTCTGGCTGGGTTTGAACCACCAGCTTTTCAGTTAGCAATGAGCACTTAACCTTTGTGCAATCAGGGCTACTTAAAATGAGACAGTCTTGTTTTACTTAAAAAAGAGTAATATATGTAAGAGTATAAAATATTAAAAAAATAGACATTATTGCCTATAAATATTGTAAATACCACGTTGCTATAATTTAACTCCATACCGTCTTTCAAGTCATTGCCGTGGAGTTGGAATTGACTCATAGCTGACCCTCCTGCTGGTTTTCGGAAACTAAATCGCATGGGAGGAGATTGCCCATCGTTCTCCTGCAGAGCCGCCCGCTGGTGAATTCGAACCGCCAGAGAGGCACCACGTTTGGGTTAGCAGCGCAACTCCATTGGACTACGCCTCCAGAGCTCCCTATATCATCGTTAGGAAGGTTGTATAGATTGAAATATTATGAATACGACCCTTTAAAAATAATAGACTTCTGAGTATATAGTCTTTAGTATTGAGGTGGTAACTTTGCATAATATCTCTTACCCTTTCTTAAGAAAGGGTAAGAAAGGGTATACATAGTTATCTTTTTAAAAACTTTTTGTAGACAAATAATTTTGAGGCTTACGTGTTTCTTTGTGTTAAGAGCAGATGTTTTCAGTGACAATTTTTATTTCGTAAGCCTTTCCCCTCTCCTTTATTCTTCTCTGTAGTTACTCTATAGCAAGAAAGGACATCAAAGAAGTAGACATTCTCACCCTCCCTGAATCTGAGCTCTCTGCAAAACCAGGTAAGAGAACTGTAAAGCATTTCCTAATTTTAGGATTTCACTTTATAGGGAAAATAGGACTAAGAGAAAATACTGTCTAGTGCCATCTAAACTCTTTGAGTTGGTACTTACTCTCCTTGGTGGCTGTTTTTGTAATGTTAGGATAAAATATGAATATTTAAATAGTAATTTTTATCTAAGTTTAATTTTCCATATTTTACCATTAAGGTTATTGATAGCACTCCCTAGAGTAGCAGTAAACATTTATATGATGTTATGACTTATAAAATATGTTCAGTTTACTGCATCATCTTTTGTTTAAAATAGGAAATAAGTATTTTTGTTACTGCTTTTGAAATAGGAAGCATCTGAGAGACCAAGTGCCCTGGTTGAATACAGGTCTGATTCTCTTTGCTACACTGTTTTCTCTTATCCGTTGCTGCCATTTTCATAACAACTGGAGTTTATTTTCACTCGTAGGGCTTCAGAAAGCAAGCATTTTCTTAAAAACAAGAGTTGTTCCTGACAATTGGAAAATGGATATAAGTGAAATCCTTGAATCATCCAGTAGTGATGATGAAGATGGCCCGGCTGAAGAAAATGATGAAGAGAAAGAAAAAGAAACCAAAAAGGAAGAAGAGGAGGTGGTAGGTGACATCTCCTATTTAGAACAGACAATGATGTTTGATATTCTTTAGGAAATAATATCTTCAGGAGAGGAAGACCTTCTATGAGGTGGATTGATTGAGTGACTGGGGTAATGGGGGTAGGTGTGTCGGAGACAGTGAGATTGGCTCAGGATAGGGCAGACTTTAGGGCTGTTGTACATAGGGTTGCTATGAGTCTTAGGCAACTCGACGGCACATAACAACAACAATATGTACTTCTGCTTACATTATTACTTACTCCTATCAATTTTTAGTTCAACTTTACTTTTTCAGGGGAAAGTGTTTTGAGGCTGTCCCCCCCCACCCCTTCTTTTCAGGAGAAACTTTTTGACTTGTACTTTATAGCTTACTGGGTATATCATAGTCAATATTAAGTAAGGCTACAGAAAATTCTTTTTAGGTAAAAAATCAGACAAATGTAGACTTGTTTTTAAAAGAGTTCTTCCTTCCAAGATAATCAAGGAAGACAGAGACGTCACGTCTAAGTTAATTACTTGTTAGCTCCTTTGAATTTTTACCAAGTAAAAGAACTGTTATCCCATTTTAAAGATGAGCAAGAATGCTTAGAAGTGTTAAGTAACTTTCCCAAAGTTGCAGAGTTGAAATGTGAAGAACAGGGATTTGAACCCAGATCTAGTGTTGTCTTAACTTTAAAACCTTATTTCATAGTATTTCATGAGTATTGATGATCAAGCAGTTTGTGCTATATTCTAACCCAAACCCAAATACTGTTTATGAAGATGTTAGATAATACATATAAAAAAAATTCAGATTGTATTTTATAAAGGCTAATGGTTTTTGTTGTAGTACCTTATCATTTTAAAAAATACATATATGTGTACACACATATGTGTAATTTATGAGACTATTCACTTACAACTGTTTTTGTTAATAGTACCGTCTATTTTTTCTACAGTATTTTGTGACATGGGGTAAATGGTCCAGTATATTTTTTGATAGTTACAAGGTAAAGAGGATTAAGAGCAAGACAAAGAGAATGAGTTTACTGGGAAAAGGGCCTACTGAGCATGAGAACGATTTGCCTGTAAAAATGTGGGCTGCTTGTTTCTGTTTTACATATCACTGATTAATTTATAATATAAAGTGATTATACTTGTATGTGATGGAGGAGCATAAGATGTTTCTTCCTTTTTACTTCCCCTGCAGTATTGGGTTTTTGCACTCAGAAATCAGAATGGCGGTTCATACTTACAGGCTGCCTACAGAGTTGCCATAGTAACATGCTGTTGGTTTTAAGTGAGCATGCTCGGAAAGACAGGAAGGTTTAACAGAGGCTTGGCAGGTTGCCAATGGAGGTTTGCCAGATGCTTTGAAATGGGCTGTCTTTCTTTTCCTTTCATGTAATGTCTGATTTTTATGTGGAAGAGAATGTAAGTAGTGTTGTATAACCCTGCGGATGCTATGCCCTAAGAGGGAAAGCAGATATTTGCAAGTCAGACTGAAAAATGTCCAGACACTGTACTGATTAAGTAGAAGGAGACTCTAACCATTTTGCATTTGAAAGAAAATGCAGCATATAGGTAAGATTTTGTGTGTGTCTGTGTGTGTATTAGCATCTTGATTGCCAAAAATGGGGTTAAATAAAAATTTTGGTCATTGAGGATGTGGCTGATTTGGTAGAACTCATAACTAAGCGTAATTGTTTCTTATAAAAAAAGACAGTAGGGATCTATTTTTAGAAAATCAGGATGAAGGCTCTTTTCTGAAAAAGAAGACTAATTTAGAAATGATGATGATGAGACAGTTTGGCAAAATTCAGATTTCAGAGTCTGAATATGAAATGTGATTTTGTATCTTATATGTACTTACTTATAGATTATATATTTTCAGGCCACATTTTCAGGGTGTGAACTGTTGCAGTCTGTGGTTTTGCTTTTGTTATTTGAATTAAAATTAGTTAGGATCCTGTATTGCCAAATATTGAAAAAAGATTAGTCTTAATTTTTGTTAATACTTTTAATTGGTTTCCCTTTCATAATATATTTTCCCTACCTCTCCACTCCAAAAGTATCTGAAATTTTAAACAAAAGAGGGTAAAACGAGCTCTGTAATAAGATTGGGGAGGTTGGCTATAAAGTCAAAGTAAATGTTTCTCATTTTAATTTCATAAATATTATGTTTTATTCACAAGAAATGAAAATAAGTGAAAAAGAATGTAGAGCACAGGCAAATCTCTGTTAACCTATTTGCATCGAGTAAATAAATTTGCAAAGGTAATGACCTTTTTTAAGGGACAGTGTCTTAAAAATACATTACTTAAATTAGGAACCTGTTAAAATTAATTGAACTAGAATGCTTTTCATTTTCTGAGAAATAACAGCACAGTTACACAATCAGGCACTGATTTAGATGATGATTATTTTATTTTTCAGATAGCTTAATAGCATATACTTCATTAAATATATGTTCTTTTGGCCAAGCAGGTAGATTTTCTTGAGTATGATTTTGGTTGCTTTAGAGAATAATCAGCTGCATTTCTTGCTCTTAGATTTAAGATTTAGTTGCTGAATCATTCTAACTTGTCTTGAACAGTCATTTTCTTTTTTATTTACTAATACACTAAAAAACTGGGGCAGGGGTGGATTTTATATATAGAAATGGGAGAAGAAAATGTGTCTGACAGAATTTGAATAACAATTTGATAAGCCAGGGCCTACCTGGCTTAGTCATTATAGGCCTTTACAAATAAGTGAGATTAAGCAGTTGTATTATATTACAGATCATATTCATACCAAAATATGATGATGCTATTATGTTATTCATGAAGATTTAATGCAGCCTGCAGTGATGAAAAGTATATTTTATTACAACATTCTGTAAAACATCATAGCTATTTTAGCTTGTCATTTGGTGTGTCTATAGTATCAGAAGAATTTCTTTGCAGTAGAATCATACAAGTGTTACATACTTCTGCAGTGTTTTTGGGCACTGGTTATTATTTTTTTATGTATGATGTTTTGAGTACAATAACATGGCCTTGGTGTATGGTTTGAGATTTTATAGCTTTGCCATGAAGGAGCATCTTTTTTTATTTAATACTATTTTTAATTACTGAGTATTAGTACTATAGCAAATGCATCTCATGCTGCAACTGTAGGACAAAAAAATAGAAAAATCTGAGAGAATGTAGGTCCTATCTATATTGCTATTTTGAAGTTTCACCTAATTAATAATTGCCTTAGGACCCCCTCGATAATATTTTTTGTGGATATTCCATAAAAGTCTTTTGTTAAGAAAATTTCAAAAAAAAAAAAAAGAAAATTTCGTATTAGAAAGTTATTAATGTGCTTTGAAATTGATTCATAAATTCATGTAAATAGAAGTAATGTTATTCATTAGTGTGAAGAGTATATGGTGGTTTAGAAGACTGTAAATCTCAGGAATAATTTGACTAGTTGAGCCTTTTTATGCTTTTTAAAAATGTTTAAATCAAGTGTTATTTGTGCCTACTATTTTTTCCTTTCATAGACCAGTTGTAAAAGCATTTGGTTACACGATAACTTTGAGTTCAAATGTGCAGTATACGTATTTATGTAGTGAGATGTTAGATGATTCAGGGAAGCCTGCCAAGTTGGTAAAATGGAAAGAAAAGTTTAATGAGTATAATCTTATTATTTCAAATTTATCTAGTAACTCCCAACTGCCAGCTTGGTATTTTTAAACAAGCTCCATTCAGTCACTAAAAATTAGTGAATAATTGAGAATTAAGTTTGCATTAAAATATAATCACTTACTTTCTAAATCCTTAACTTGGAGTCATTTAACAAAAACCCCAAAATGTCCTAATGTGTTTTATTTTCACAATCTTTCTTCACGTGTTAGGGTTGTTGTTAATTGCTATTGAATCTAAGTAAACTGCAGCTCATAGAATTTGAACCTTGCCCTAACCTGCGCCGTCCTCATAATCTCTGGCATACTTGCAAGAGTTTACTATTACAGACCCTTCTCAGTCCAACTTTTGAAGGGCTTCCACTCCTTTGCTCACCCTCTATCTTTCCAATCATAACGTCCTTTTCCAAGGACTTGTTAATAGCATGAACCAAGTATGTGAGATGTACTGTCACTCTAATTGCCTCTAAAGAGCACCTTGGTTGGCTGCACCTTTTCTAAGACATATTTCTTAGATATTTCAGAGTATTTCATTTTGGCAGTTGGCAGTCCATGGGATACTTTTCTCTACAACCACAGGTCAAAGGAATCAATTATTCATTTCTCCTTATTCATTGTCCAACTTTGAGCTGCCTAATGAGTACTTGAAAAGACCATGGTTTGGATCAGGGGTATTTTAGTCTTTAAATGAACATCATTGCTCTCCAGCACCTTGGAAAAGGGCCCTTACTTACCCTGGTAGGATGAAAGAGGTGATTTTAAGAACTTGTGTTTGATAGCTGCCAAACAGTATTTTGTACTTTTTCACATGGGGAACAGTATTATTAATCTTTTTTAACTCTGATGTAATACAAGAGATTGGTAATTATTTAAGACAAGTTGTTAAATTCTTTTCTGAAGTTATAAAACTTTGCACACAATAAATTTTACGTTATCCTCAAAATTTTATCTAGGTATAGTATGGGGGAACTGGTACCACTAAATTTTATGATAATCAAATTTCATTGGGTCTGCAACGCTAATGGTCAATTTCCAATCATTATTTTAAAATCCTTATATTCTCCATTTTGCTAATAACCTTACCCCCCTCTGAAGCTTGAAATATGAAGGAACATATTCTAAGTAAAACCATCTGCCAGCTCTTCACCCCTAAGATCGGTTGAAAAGATGTTGTTGTCCTCTGTAAAATCAGTCCCTCAATCTGTGCCGTGGATCATACTCCCCTCTGCCTTTCAGAAAGTTTTAAGACTGCCAACTATCTATCTTTTCAGTATAACTTCTTTGTTTTTATTATATTCTTCCCCTCAAAATTTTTTAAGCAGCTTACACCTCCCTCATCCTTTTGACAG